CCCACCGCTCCCCTGGGCCCCACCCCTACCTGGTGACCCCGTCCTTGATGTAGTAGAGCAGACACTCGGACATCAGCGGGTCCTCGTTGAGGTTGACCAGGTGCGGCGTCTGGGGAGACCGGAGGCTCAGCTCCCCTGGGGGCGGGAGCCCGCCGGCCATGCCCTCTCCCCCTAAGCCCGGCCCTGGCCCTAGGCCTGGGGGACGCGCCTGGCCTGGGGAGACTGGAGAGGCTTGGTCAGCCCCCGAGCCCACACTCCAGTTGTCTCACTGGCCGGCCACTCCAGGGGATGTGAGGACAGCTGGCAGGGAGAGTGGGGTGGCGGGCAGGGCTCGCACTTGGGGAGCTGGGCACAGGGCCCCGGGCACCGACGTGGGCCCAGTGGGGCTGGGGGCAGTGAGGGCCCTTGGATACGCAGGCCAGGTCTCAGGGTCCAGAACCCCACTCTGGCCAGGGCGGCCGGAGCCGAGGGCCCTCGCATAGGGCCCCCGCTGGCCCTAGGGGACACCCCCGCCCCTCTGGACTCAGTGGCGAGCAAGGCCCTTGCCACTGCCCCTCCCCTGGCGGCCCCTGGCTGCCCGGGCGGTCTCGCGTCCTCCCTGCCAGGGCCGGACTCCTGACGCTGGCGGGCCACGGGTGGAGGGACCCTGGAGGTGGCCCCTGAGCTGCCCAGAGCTGCTCTTTGGGCCCAGACAGTGTCCAGACTCGGGGTCACCAGCCAGTCCCTCTGCCTCCAGCAAAGCAACGACTTCAGGGTGCCGGTGCTTGAGGGCCGCCCCTCCAGGGACAGGAGGGTCTGTGTGCCCTGCCCATGACCTGGGCCTCGGCCAGCGTGGGTGGGGGAGCCGGGCCAGCCCTCCCAGGCACCACTCACTGCCCCCCCGGGGGTGCTCCTGGGGCGGTGCGGACAGGGCCAGCTGAGGGGTGGGGTGGCTGGGCGCCCCCTCGCCAGCAGGAGCAGAGCGGGCTGCCTGCCTTGAGGCTTCGTTGTGGAGGGCCTCTGGGGTGAGGGTGGGCACTGGAATCACCCAGACAGTTGTCCCCAGAGGGACGCCCATCTCGGCGGCTGTCCGCTGGGCAGGCCCCGGCCCCTGGGAGAGCCTACCAGCCTGCCCAGGACGTGGGCTCAGGCCCCACCTGGCACCAAGGTCGTCTCTGAGGCTGGAGTGACAGCCTGTGAGTGAGCCCCAGCCCCGCCGTCGGAGCCCTCCAGCCCTGTCCAGGGTCACGTTGCCCCAGGGGACGCGTGGCCCGGACTCCCTTAGCCTGAACCTGCCCTGGCCCTGCCGGCTGGGCCTACCTTCTTGGGCGAGAACACGCCCAGTGTGCCGCCGTCCTCCCGCATGGCCACGCCCATCTCCGCCAGCAGGGCTTCCCTGAGGGGGGAGCAGAC